TGCAGGAGTGCTTTTTGAAGCGTGCCATTTCACACTGAAAAAGCAAAGCCTCCCCTGGGGTGTTCGCAGAGTGCCCTGAAAGCTGCTGGTGTGGCGAACCTCACACCTCGGTTTGCTGTTCCTTTAAGCCGTGTCTGATTCCAAACCACTCTGTAGCCCTGAAACAAGCAGCACTGCTGAACAAAGAGCCTGCAAACAGGGACAGTTCTGAGAGCGAGTTTCATAACCACTGTCCCCCACTGGGAAAGGCAGTCCCAAGCCAGTGAGCATTGCCAGGCGGATCCAGCATCTTTTGTCCATTTGGACAGAAGACAAGACCAAATGCCAGGCTCTCCTGTAGGGAAGGTTTTGCAGGTCCTCTGAAGCTGCTTCTTGCTGCTGCTGGGTTTAAATTCAGGGTGAAGCATGGAGGGTGTGAAGGAAAAGGGCAAATGCAAAGATTTCCTCCCCCTTGAGAACCTGTGTTCCTGTGCACTTATGTTGCCTTTAGGCAAAGGAAAAATGTGCACTGAGAGCAAGAAGTCTGTCTGTTACAGTAAGCACCTATTTGAGGTGAGATCCATCCAGGCAGAGGAATGGTTAAATCCTGGAGAAAGAGCTGGAGCTTCCTAGGAGTGATGGGTGAGGCCCCATGGGAGCGGCGGGTCCATGTGCCTCCAGCTATATCCCAAAGACGTTTGGAGTTGCTGATGGTGAGCAGACTGGTGAGGTGGTGCTGGCTTTTCACTCTCAACAGTAATCCACAGCTGTGGATTGCTTACATGACCTCTTAACAATGTTTCTCCTATACTATGAGTTGCTGTGTGTGGCACTCCAGACTGAATGGGTTTCCCTGACCTCCCCTGTTTGGTAACTCTCAGTTGACCAGCTTAGGCAGCTCCAGCCTCCCTGTGCTCCCCTCGCTCAGGGCATCTTGCTTCTCACCTCCACCAGGATCTCTCTTACTGGACTCCTTAGCCAACCCCATCTCTCTTCATCCATCCTCTCTCACCTCACTGTATTGTCCTTCCCTCGGCTCCTTTCATCACTTGTGCTCCATCTTCCAGTTCCTTCCCCATCCTGATTTTCTCTTGCAGCCTAGACAGGGCACAGCATTGACAAACACCTTGTCCCACTTGTTCTTCTCCCTCCCTCTTAGTCTGGCCTTCATGTGCTCTGCTTTCAAGTCAGTCTGTCCTCTCAAAGAGTGCTGAGGTACTGGTAACAGCATGAAACACTGAACTGGAAAACACCAACAATTTTTTTTTCTTTTTTTTTGCTAATCTTACTGGTTAAGCAGATGAATTGTGGCTGGTATTTCTCTGTAGCAGATACACTGGGGAGTTTCAGGTGATGCTTAGTGAAGCCAGCAGTGCTTGGGAAGAGACTCTCTCCCAGGGTTCAGAGCAGGGTTCAGCTCTAGCTTTGTGTGGCCTCGCCTCTCGAACTTACTTTTTGCTCTAACATTTCTACATTGATGCTGTGCCCAGCTCCGTTTCCACTGGTGTGCTTCCCAACATGATGCTTTGGCTTTTACCGTGTCACCAGATCTGTCTCCTGGATTCTGGCACTTTTGCAGGGCTCACCTGGTACCAGCAGACTTTTGGCAGGGGCTAGTCCACCCAGGCAGGCTGTGCCGTGGCCCAGGACCCAGCAGGACAGCTGCTGGAGGCTGCTGCGAGGCAGAGGGCACAATTCACCTTTAGATGCAACATGACTGCCTTGCTGAATCCTTGGGGTTATTTTTTTACTCAGCTGGCCAAATTCAAAGCAATGAATCAAAACACCCATCCTGGTAAAATCTGTTCAAGTGCATAGAGTCGTTCAATGTGTTGCTGATTTCCTCTTCTGCAGCAAGGCACCGGCCTTTCAGGCACATCGAGTGTAAAGAGCCTCGCAGCTTTCAAATTTACAGCTGTCCAAATCAAATGTGTGAACTCAGTGGAGTTTGTTTATTTAATTCTGCTTTATAATACACTTAACTTGATACCAAGTAAAAGAAATAATCTGGCAAAGACATCATTAAACAGTTTAATAAGGACTGGGTGACTCATTTTGTTTGAACAAATGGATTATTTTGCAATCAGAAGTACAAATGTTAACCAGCTTTATTTTTAGTTGAAAATGTCAAGAGGTCAGAAACAATTAAAGCAACTGTAAGGTGGGAGTCCCCAGAGTTTGTGTTCTCTTGGATTTACACCTTACTAAAATTGCTTTTATTGCAGCTTAGCAACTTACTAACATTTTTCTGATAAGATAACGGGAAATGACTGTGTAGGCATATTTACTGGTAAGAAGAGATTAGAGTCAAACAGAAACGGAGCATACTTTTCATTTTAACAGAACAAGAGCTGGAAAACTGAGAGGATCTGCTTTTTCCTTGCAAGATTTGAAAGGTGACTGTATTTTAAAAGGAATGTCTGACCTGCTTAGGACTTTCTCATCAGCTCAAAATTCAGTGTTTTGAATATCAGCTACAAGCTATTTCATGTTGCGGTTCCTCCTTTGAAAGTTCATTGTGTTTAGAGAAAAGAGAATGCAATGTTTAAGTGCAAAGAGTAGCAAACTGCAGCTCAGCAACAGGACTGCTTCAAGAATGGGCACTTCGGACATCAGTAGGCATTGCTGTTGAACCTGTCCCTAGCAAGCCATGCGCTAGCAGGGCTGGAGGCAAATTCAGGGGAAAAAGTTTCTTTTGCTGCTCCTGATGTCAGAGGGTTGAGATTTATTGGCCCCATGCAATTACGCATCATGAGCTCACTGACGCAGCATCTCGCTCGGCCTGTCCCTGGAGCACCTGGCATAGCAGAGGCGCCACCTGAGTCACCCGCGGGGCCGCCACCTCCTGTGGGGGATGCGCTGCCGGGGCTCACCATGGAGCTTGTGTGGTCCCAGGAGGGTGGCAGGAGCCCGCAGCCCAAGGGTGATTGGACCCGACAGAGCTCTGCGCCACAGTGCTGGTGGTGATGAGCAATTCTGGTGCTTGCAGTGTGTTGCTCTGCCTGGTGTTGCATCAACACCACAGACTGAAACGTGGCTTGTGCTCCCGCTGCTGTCGCTGCCTGATGTGCTTCTCATCCCCAGCTGGAATACCTTGGTAACCGCATGTTCTCTGTAACAGGTCCGGATCGAGGATGACATCGCAGTGACAGCCAGTGGAATGGAGCTGCTAACATGTGTCCCACGTACTGTTGAAGAAATAGAGGCTTTCATGGCAGAAGGCCAAAGCAGTGCCAAGTCATTTCACTGACTCTTCAGCCAAAAGCAGTAAACTTCAGGATGATAATTACTGTCTCACACAAATCAGTCATTGTTCTGATTTAATGCTGCGTCGTATAAAATAAAAATGCATCTAATTCTTAATAGCAAGAGAGGCAGGCAGGCTATTAGCTGGAATGATTCATTAATTAAAAATGAAGGTAGAAGGCTTCACCACTTGATATCCAGGTAACTCAAATGCTGCTTGCAATCAGCAGTTTACATTACCAAGTGCCACCTGCATAACCCTGCTGCATTATCAGTGGGGCTTGTACTTCTGTCACATCTCAGCTCAGACATATCTTGCAATTAAATCTGAATTTTGATGATAGGGACTCTTTAAAATACCAAATGGATTATCTGAATGCTGTCAGCAATTGTAATAATCTAAGTCCTTTTTTAAACTTCATCACAAGTATTGCGAAAAACATAAAAGAAAAATCAGCTGTTCTTGGTGGACATGACACTTATATTTTTCTTACGGATCTTATTCCAGTGTCAATGGAGTAAGCAGAATCAAATTTTTATTAAAATTTGTCCTTGGCATCATTTATGCTCACAAGTGTGTTCGTTATGCTTTTCTGCTCCTGTTCCTGCTTCTTTATCTGACCTTTCTACCACTTTGTGCTCTGGAAACTTTGACCCTTCATTAGCCAGATTTTTCTGCTCTGGGTAGTGGGTGTACTGATCCTTCACACACAGCCCAGTGCTTATTAGATTTGTCCATCTATATGTTCCTTAAAAATGTGGATTGCTGTCGTGTTGACGAGCAGTAGAAATTGTAAGAAGGGAGTATCTTTGCTACAGGGCTCAAGGTCAATCAGCAGCATATGCTGTGCAGAATGATAGAGTTATTTTTAACTGTCCAGTGTTAGCCAGTTCAGAATGAAATCATGTAAATTTTATTTGGATACACCACAAACATATTAATAATGATCATAAAATTATTTTCCATTCATGCAAGATTTAAATTATCCAGAGAAGCCTTTCTTTACTATAGGTGTTCCTCAGCCTGCAGGAGAATAAATACATTTCTTGCATCATAAAATAGCACTAATTGCTGTAACAACATAAAAACAGTCTTGCTCACTTTATGAACACATCAAAACTCCTGCTTGGCCTTCAGGCTCCATTGCGCTGTTTGCCTGCAAAGCCCCTTCAGAACATCCCTCCGCCGTGTCAGGGGGAACTGAAGTTGCAGCAGGATGTCGGTGCCTGTCTGGGTCTCGCCGCTTGCCAGATGAGGATTTTCCCGCTGTGAAGGAATCGGTTGACTTGATCATCTTGGTTTTGCTGCTCGCATCCCAGAGCTGGTGTGCAGGCGATGGGACCAACCATGAGGTGCTGGGTGCCTGCAAGTGCCAGTCTTACCTGGGGCATACAACACAACGTGGGTTTGGATGGTGTAAAAAACTGCTGCGTTGCTGTCTGTGCCCCCCACCTGGGACTGGATTTAGGTCTGAAATAAGTTCCTTAAAAATTGTCAGATGTGTTGTTCTACAGAGAACTCTCTCGGGTTGATCTGTGTGACAAGAACCTGCTCTTTATTCCTAACAGCTTGGTGACCCATGGCTAAATAGGAAACTGCGTGTTGGGGACTAAAGAAACCTATTGTGAAATAATCCAGGGGACTTCAGTCCTTATGTTTAATGTCACTTTATTAACAAATGAGCCTGATTACATTTTTTTACGGTTGCACATTGGTTTGTAAGAGGTAAGTGCAGGAGGTCTTGACTGTGAAGGGGAAGGAGTGAGGAGGGGCGTGCGTGAGATCAGCAGCTTGTAGGTGCAACCATGGTAATGCTTCCTTCTGTGGTGACTGCAAGTCTCGTTCCTCTGAAATGTAGTACTAGTGCAGAGGACATCGGGCTTTGCTTTGGTAGCTTGCAGATACGAGAACACAGAACTACACTGGCACTCCCCACTAAAACTTGGGAGGTTTTTCCAGTGCAAGATGGTGCTCGTGGCCTCAGCCTTGTTCCCGCCGAGTCCAAGTGCGTTCCTGTGGCATGCTCTGAACACACCCATGGGATCGCTCACTGCTTTGGGCACTCCAAAACCTGCTGTTGCTTGGGTTCAATAGCAGTTACTATTTTAAAGTAACACTTCACAGATTTTATTTTTTTTTAAAAAGAGTTTTGGAATTGTTTCAACTAAGCTGTAACCCAAGTCTAGTTAATAGGCCTTTCCCTGCCTGTGATTAATCTTGGCAAATACTGGGCTCTGCTGCTGCAGAACAGGTCGAGCAATCTGGTGTGCTGCAGGAGGCAGAACTGGTTCTGCTTCGACATGTACCAGCGAACAAACCCTACCGCGAGTTCTGGGGGGGAAAGCACACGCTCACGTAATCAGCTTCTCTGTTCTTTTGCTTGCCCGAGATCTGAATGTGTTTCAGTCTGGGATGGTGCATCGCCTCCCATTTTCCTTCATAATCAGGCCCACGAACTGGGTGACTAAATTTTATCCTTCCTTCCAGAAGTCTGTTCTGTAATTATGGTAACTTTTATCCGCTTAAGCAAAAAGTGAGTTAGAACTTTTTTCTAAATTAGTATCTGGGGGCAGGGGGAGAGGAAGTAAGCCTTTAAAAAAGGCAGTGGTATTTTATACACTTAAAATATATTTGGGGGGGGGGGGGGACCAGGTTACAGCAAACTTTTTGACTACATTAGGCTATTTTAGGCTGTTAGCTATCATGTTTTCCCAAATGCCTTTTCCCCTTGGTGCAAACAGACTCGAATCGAGTTGCACCAAAATAATAGGAAGAGCG